TATATCGAATATATATATATAATATTTATATAAGTAAATGAATCTATTCAATTATTAACAGATATAACATAATTATGCATTTCAACTGTCATATTAAGTGACTCTGTGAAGCTCGATAACATTTGATAGGGTGATTTGTGAAATAAGAAGAGCATTAAGAACGTTCTTGGGTTCTGTCTCAGATAAGCGTGAAAAGAAAATAGCAGAAAAAGCGTATATCATCGTCCCTTTTCATAAGAACAATTTAAAAATGTATTAAAAATGTAATCTAACTTTAGCTTCAAACTACTTTATTCAGTCCTTTAGATTCTCTATTAATGACGCACAGAACAACGTTAAGTGAAGTCAAATGTACTGACTTTACTTTCTAAGGTTCTAATTAATTGTAAGCATAGCAACACTAGAGAGTCAAGAAGACATAGGCTGGATACAGATAACTACCCAGCCCTATCGGTTTTGATTCTTGCTCATGTGCAGATACATTTTTGAAACGGCTTTGAATTCTAAGCAAACAAGTGAATCTCCTCAGAATCCAGTGATATATAATAATAATTATTCATGAGTCGCAATACTATTCCAATGAGGTGAAGACAGGAAGATCTATTTATAGCGTTCTGAAGGACTGCAGAGAATGATTTCACCGTGACTTCGCTGTGACGACACGTAAAAGAGCTCTGTATCTTCTTCTACTACAATTACTTGTTTCGTTTGTTTGGCGTCTACTGTATCATTCCACATTTTTCTCAAACCCGATCTGCTGAGAGAGAGAGAGAGAGAGAGAGAGAGAGAGAGAGAGAGAGAGAGAGAGAGAGAGAGAGAGAGTATAACTTTATGTCTCTTTCTATGAATACATTTAAGAATGTGTGTATATAATATATTTTGTACATACATATGCATATACTACATTCGTGAGTGTGTGTATAATCTTGTTCAAATTTAACTTGGCCAACTTTCAGGAAACAGCGGCCATTCTCTCTCTGCGTTTCTCTCTCTCTCTTTATTTTTAAAAAATCTTCCTCTCTCTCTTTTTTTCCTTTTTCTCTCTCTCACACTCCATCTTTCGTCTTCTTTTTTCTCCCCACTCCTGCCTCTCTCTCCCTCTCTCCTTCTCTTCCTCCCTCCTTCTCTCTCCCCCCCCTCTCTCTCTCTCTCTCTCTCTCTCCGTCTCTCTCCCCCCTCTCTCTTTCTCTCCTACCTCTTTCTATACCTTTTCTTCCTTACAAAACCTACTATTCTGTAAAATACTCCAACAACCGCTTTGTTATAGCCCAGAACACTTGATACCAAAGCAATAAATCCCCCCTCCCTCATCCTAACACCCACACCCGCCTCTTGAGTATCTGTAAATACTTTCACTTTCACATCTTTATCCTTGATCAGCAGTTCCGTCCTGTTTCTAGAAATTAAGTGAAAAAAAAATTAATTAAAAATAAGCTTTAATCTTACAGAACACGTGCGTGACGTCATACAATTTCCAAGGAAAATATAACACAGTGTAAAAATGGAAATAAATAAATGAAGAAGCATTTTTATTTAACATCATTACATGGTGGGTGAAAGTTCAGGTGTGTATGTGTGTAAGTGAGTAAGTGTGTGAGTGTGTGTGTGTTTGTATGTGTTGTGAGTGCTGTGTGTGTGTGTTTGTGTGTTTGTATGTGTGTGTGTGTGTGTGTGCTTGTGTGTGTGTGTGTGAACAAAGACGAACCATACGATAAACGTCAACATTCACGAGCCTCTCACTCTCTTCCTCTGAGTATTTCAGACAAAGAATACACGAGATGGACTAATGCTGTTAAATATTATAGTAAAAGTATAAGGAAATTGGAACAAAAATTTCGGGCTTGGTTTTCCCCACAGTTTCAGAACAAGGAACACATAGCTTGGATGTCCATGTCTGATCCAAGAGTCTTATCTTTACATCTTACTGGTTGACCTTGACGACCTTTCAGAAAAACGAAAGCACTAATATAATTATAATCAAAACTGAAAAGGAGGTGTTTGTACATTTTTGACCCCCCCCCCCAACCCATCTAATCCTAATGCTCATTTTTGTCTTTTACTTGCAGAGTGTGCCCTGCATACATTATAATATTACCATACTTACAATTTTTGTCATGGAAAAGTCTCATTCGTGAAATATCCCCACTATCAAACATTTTCTACTAAATTCAGCTTTATTATTAAGATGATATCATGGTATCCTACAATAGAAGAGAATGAACAATACATCACAACGGGAACTGTAAAGGTTATTCGATTTTTTTGTCTTTTTCAGGGAATAGGCGGTTACATGGACATACATTTTCAATTGAGACGATCAATGATGATTACGTGATTGTAATATATGTATAACATTATAAATATATTACTTGATATTTTGTACAAAAAGCGAGGCAGGATTTCCTCCGACAGAGCATGAAAGGGAAACGTTATAAGCGTTTTGACGAATCATATAAAAAGAACATAAATTTCTGAAACAAAAGACAAGCTACAATTGAAAAGCATCGTTCTCCGAGTTCAAGAAGTAGATTCGGAGGACGACCAAAGATTTGCATTTTCACTTGGACAGCAGTACATACACCTAGAAAGATGCGATTCTATTGTCTCTACCCACTTTAAAACTCTGGAAAGGAACATGATGCCTCCAAAAAACGGGAAAAATGATTAATCCATGTTTTTAAAAACAATGGAAGCCGTTTTGGTTTGCAAACAGAACATGATCATTATCTCATTCTCAGAAATGCTACGCAAACCCATGGCCTGTTTGGTCAGTTTTGTAAAAGCCTTAGAGGCTTCCAATAATTTGTGTGGTTTAATTTAGATATGGATTCAATGCAAAACATCCAGTATCCAGTGATTTCCTTGCTGGAGACATGGAGTTTATGAAAAACATGGAACACTACAGTTGCGCTGTGTTATCACGACTCAAATACCTGAGGATGGTGTTCTAGCTCGGCGTACAACAAGGAACCGATCAAAGACGCTATCGTGTAGAAAAGAAAACAGTAGTAAGGCCCCTCTTCACGGCTGTAGATTTACGGGTTGGGGGGGGGGGGATTATAAGACATAAGAAACAAAAAAATACTTGACGTAATGGACGGTTTCGTACCCTCGAAAGAAGTCAGAAATACTATGATATGATTGTGTAAATTGAATACAAAGGCGAACAAGTGAATGCATGAGTACAAGGCAATTCTGTAAAACAAAGTTCACGTAATATTCAGAACTTCGTAAGGCGGTTATTGTTGGATACAAGTTCATGGATGGATTGGCACTGTATAAAGAAAAACGAATTGCAGCTAGAACTGTATGTGAAATGACTTGTGGGATTCGTTCTAAAACAGACAGGACATTCTTCAGTATTGCATTCTGTTTTGGACACATTATCAGAAACCATTTCGGCAACAAAGGGTTGAACTCTGAGCTTTCTATGAAGAATCATCCTACACATTTTTAGAACTTCGTCTTTTCTCCTTTGATTCACGGTCAGTGTTTGCGATGAACACCTTCCAGCAAAATTCCTTTACCTTAATTCTCTCTTGATTTAAGCATTGTTTCCATTTTACACATCATTTTTTTCTTTTTAAAGAAATTCCTTAAAGGCAAAGCTTTCAAAACGAAAAATTTATAGAAGGAACCAAAACAGCGATGACACCGAGTAACCAGAAACCGATATTCTCGTAGTTTTGAATGGCCAGTTTTCTGGAACCCCAATTCTGATTATAACAGTAACTGTCAATAATATTCCTGTGGCATGAAAGACCATCCCACTCGCAGCAACAAAAGAACAAAAACACAAATAACTGACAGACCACTACAGCAGAAGAACAAATCGCGTGCGCCTCTCGCCCAAACACTGTCGTGTTGAATTTTGTTAGCAATTTGATGAAGCAAAAGATATAAATAAGTAAATCTCTTTGTTCTCTGGGCACAAAAGTAGGTCACCCGTCACCAGAGTGTGTGAAAGGCATGAGGTGGGACTTGGGCGGTGGGGGATCTCTGAGGCTGAAAGTAAAACTGCACTGAAACGGACGGACACCAACAATCACACAACTCACACACCGAATACAATGTATGCATTTTCTATAGTTGTTTTTTTTTCCACAGATTCTCTCTAGCTTTTGAACTTTCTCTTATCCATTTTCGCCCCTGCCTCTCGCTGTGAATCCATCTCATTCTCTAGCTGACGTTCTGTCATCCATTATCTGTCATCCATTTTCTCTCTATCTTTCTCTCTCATGGACATACGCATCCACATCCACACACACACTCATATAAACACACATATTCTCTTTCTTAAAAAAAAAAAATCTCTCTCACTCTTCAGTACCTCTTTGTATTTCCTATATTTTCCAAAAATGTATATATATATATATAAATATTATCCACCGCCATCTCATTCTCTTCCATGTGTAAGTTTCGCCTCTCAAAAACGTACGTGTTTAGGCTCCCTTCACTTTGCTCACGTGCCCACAAACTCTCAGTTTACAACAACTACCCTTGCTCACAAAATAGTTGTCTGCACTATCCCTCACTTAGACAACACAACCTGTCCACCATAAACCACGATCTGAATCTAGCACACATTCCCACACGAACAAGATTCAAGTTCACAAACAATGTACACACCGCACACATATATGAACAGACACACACACACACACACACACACACACACTGACACCCACAAACAGACACACTCGTCCGTTCAGGCACACGTCTTGTATTGAGCTGCATAGGGCAGTCGTCCAAACAGACGTCCATATACCACATCATAGAACGCGCACGGAATACAAATTAATAACCTCCAATAAATAGCATACTCGGACCAATAAATTAGACTTTAAAAAACAAACACCTAATCACAGATAAACAATGATCACTATATGGAAAAAAATAAATAACGCCGCTGGCTGAGTGCTCAGCCCTGTGGCACAGATTGTACTAAGGTTTAATAGTCGTACTGTTTTGTTTTACTTAAATTATCCGCTGAGTGTTTTGTTTTTAATTACTTGTTTTTTTTTTTGCCATCAGTAAGTACAGCACATGAAAAATTGGCATGCATCACCATCATCATCATTGTCATCATCATCATCATCATCATCATCGTCATTGTTATCATGGTCTTCGGGGAGACCATTAGCATCATTACCATTACCAAGTCAGAAGAACAAATTCATCAAAGGCATTGCTTATAACAATGATAATAATAATAATTATAATTATAATTATGATAACGACAATAGTAATAATATTATATTACATGAAACATTTATGAAAAATGAAATTCGTGAGATATTATAGGCATTCATAGTACATGGGTTTCCCCCCAATATCATAGGGCGAAGGGGGGTAGGCATAGTTTTAATGACTCATATAAAGGGACATGGTAGAATTAAAATGTGTCGATGACTCATATTATAAAGGGAAATGGTAAAATAATGTCACTAAGTATCCTTGATCTCTCAAAGGACAAGGGATAGAATTGTACATTTTTAATAAACAATTTTATTTTCAAAAACAAAGGAAACGAAACTGAAGAAAGTGAAAGATGTACCATGAAGCATCAGGTATCTTTTTTGTGACGTCATGAGCCAGATGATCCCAGCGGTCATGACTCCCAAAACCCCTCCCCCCACAAAAAAGAAAAAAAAATACGGAAGAAAATCATCCTTCTCAGTCACTCAATCATCATAACCACGTGATCCCTAGGAGTGGGCGTGTCCGGCAATCTGTCCATCTTCTGATTCTTTCAACCAATCGTCCAGTGTGGCGGCATCGCCCCGTCTACCTTAGCCTCATCCTTGTTCTAATTCTTTTCTTCTTCTTCTTCTTCTTCTTCCTTTCGTCCTCACTCTCCTCTTCATCCTGATTCTCCCTCTCATCTTCATCATCATCCTCATAGCCTACCACCCCTTCCTCCTCCTCCTCCTGCTCTTCTAAAGCCACACACCCCCCTGACACTGTAACCACTCCTGACTCAGGATCCTGTCTCGTCCGCTCCTCCCCCTTCTTCATTAAGCCCCACCTCCCTGACGTGCCGCATCACTATAACCACTCCTGACTGTCTCGCCCGCTCCTCCTCCTTCTCCATTAAGCCCCGCCCCCTGGAAGCGCCGCATCACTGTAACCGCTCCTGGATCTGCTGCGGTTGGAACTGCGCGAAGTGCGTGGTGCTGGCGGCGAGCTGCTGGGGCATGGCGTACGTGTATCCGGCGGGCACGCCCGCAACTGCGCCATAGCCGGCGGCAGCCGCCGTGGTCCCGGCCGTGGTGTACGGGCTGTACGCCTCGTAGCCGCTGGCGGCGAACTGCGCGGCGGTGGCGGCCGAGTAGGCGGAGGCGTAGTCCAGGGCGTACTGGGTGGGCGTGCCTGTAGGTGTAAAGGGGGAAAAGTATGAGGAGGGGTTGTTCAAGTCGGAGAGAATTATGCATTGTTTTAGTTCACGTCAAGATAAGTACGGCTAAAACAGCACCTGAACACGGATGGCTGGTGCCTCTATAAATAAATTATTATAGATGGTCAAGATAAATACGTTAACAAGCAATAAGTGTACAGCGGACAAATTTAGCCCACGGGAAAAGCAAGAGAGACATAAATAATGAATGACCTGAAAGTGCCACCCGCTAATCGCCTGTATTCACTGAAAAAGCAACAACAACAACAACAAAACTCAATCAAATCCTTATTTGATATGGCTCTATCCATTTGAAAGTGGCCACTTTTCCTGCTTTGAATGGAGAAAGCTACAATTTTGGCACAATCTGATCCTATCCTCCAACACCACACCTTTTGTTTTGTATTTTTCGGTACCAACAGGTGCGTTTATGGAAATTGAGGCCAACAGCTAATCAGACTGTTTCCACTTCTCATGTGACATTGCGGAGTCTCAGATCGTTTGTTTTCATGCGGAGGGCAAATGACGCTTCTAAACTTTTAAGTGCAAATTTGATAAACAAAGAAAAAGTCTTTCATTTGGTGTCCACTGTCCACTGACGGGCGCCATGTCTTGACCCAGCCCCATCTTATCATGCAGATTCAGATCCAGTCTGTCTGAACAATGGACATACCTTCTATCACCTGAAGGGGAGCATATAGACGCCATAACCACTATGTATTGACGGTAAATAACGAGAGAGACTGAGGTCTGCGGAAGCAACACAGTGACGAATCGGACGCAGGACCTGCTACAAGCAGAATGAGAGAATGGCAGACTCAAACCAGGGACATCTACATCGTAGTCCAAGTCTGTTGCAGACTGCGCGATCGTCCTAACAGTGTGTTCTTTGACCGCGAGGTGTTCATGTATTTTGATTTAACCTTTTTTTTAGGGGGGGGTATGCTTATTTCATATAGAAATATATACACTACATAGGGCGGGGGTGGGGGTATTGTGATGACTCCCATTTCCTCTAATTTGACTGTTTTGAGCTATACGTTGCTCTTTTTGGATGTAAATTGAGTGTCAGAGCATACACTTTGAGTTTTCAGCCAGCACAATTTAAGAGAATGGATCCAAAACGCCAACAGGAATCAGATTGAAAATAAAGTTTGCAGTCATTTAGTTTGACTGTAAACGAGAAAGTAGCCTTTAGCTTCACTTTTATTGCTTCTCTGCCAGAAGTCATAATAGTATTAATCCTATCTGACAAAAATACCCTCAGTGGTCAAATTAACCTCGGGTGACAAAAGTCGTTCTGGTTAAATGAGGCGCAAAACGAAGCTTGCCTTGGGGGTAATGGTCCCAGAGCCATCAGATTTATGAAGGCCATAGATCTACACTGTACATACAAACTGTGTTCCCAGAAGATTACAATTACAGTGCGAGGAGAAGAATGCCGTTAATTCGTTATGGCGGCTGCTTGGTTCGGGCAAAACACCTCTCCTCGTGATAGATCGTTATGAACTACGACTTCTCCGAATTAGAATAAGCGTTCTGTAATTGCTCCAAGAATGTGAGAATTCTTTGAACAAAGGAGTTTGGCGGAAAACTGCCTGGGTTTGTTTTTGTTTTATATTTTTATTTTAATAATTTTTCTTACGGGGGTAGGGGGTGGGGGACGTTGTTTATCATTTTTGAGTTTGTTGAATTACCTAAGAAAATTAGACGAGCGCGTATTGTCATAATAAAAAGTTAATTTAGAGCACAATTTCTTTGAATGATTGATGTTATACGTCATATTCGTCATGAACTTAAACTGCACCCCATAAAGTACTGAATACGCAACGATCTGACAAAACTATCATGTGTTTTTCTGCAAAGGTTGTTCCAAACAACATGGTCCATATCATAATCTTTATTGATCACCTTGTCAACTTATATCTTTCATTGCTTTATCCTTCAACCCATGCAGAACTCATTGACTCTCGATGTATCTTTTCAATCTACTGTGTAAATTTACACGGGGCCCTTCTAATCATAATATGCAAAAAAACATTCCATTGCAGATGGAGCAATTAAAAAGAAAGTGTTTAAAGGAAATTGTTTAAATGTACAAGAAGCAATACATCTTTCAGATGGGCTTCGTCCTCTCCGAGAACGAAGAGTCTGAAAGGTGGGTGGGAGTTGTTGAAAAAAAAGAGGGGAGGGGTAATAAACAATCTATTCACGCCAGAAAATAATTATGTACAGTTTTCTCTTCATTTTTTAGTGTCCTCGGCATCAGAACTTTGGAGTGATTCTGTTTTCATTTATAGCATATTTATTTTATTCTTTAGAGTCTATATAGTTACGTAATCCCTATGATGCCTGCCACAAAGCCATGAGGTAAACTGTATGTATTCAAAATGTTTACATTTTAATTTATTTGAATGATATTATCCCTAAACAAGGACTTGCAGCTTATCTGTAAAGTTAGATTACAGCGGTTTTTTGAAGGTCAATACTTTTTGCCGAGCAGCGAAAGCAAAGAAGATAAGCAAAAAAAAAAGAAGAAAAAAAAGTGTGTGTTGTTTGCACGGAGCAATGGCACAAACTCCCTACAATCTCTTGCTTTTCTGATTCCCCGTTCTCTGTATCTCTCTACGGCGTTCTTCTGAGTACGTGTCTCCTTCTTTTAAGATGATAATACGGGTAGAGCAAGTACAACTGCAACAACTTCGCTTGCAACATCAGCACCAGTATAAACACAATAACTTCCTTGTGTAAGAAACGTCGTCACCACAACAACTAGGACGACAACAACAACATCATCATCATCATCATCATCATCATCATCATCATCATCATCATCATCATCATCATCATCATCATCATCATCATCAT